AATCGCATTTATTCAGTCCGAAACACAACACATCGTAAAAGTGAAATTTTGGCACAGAGCGAGTGCAGATCATCAGTTAAAGTGAATTTCAGATATCAGAGACTGAAACGACATATAGCTCTATATTGAGGATAAACTAGCTACAGTGTTCTACGTGTCAGGTTTTACAGTTTCTCCCCGTCATATTTCTTGGCAAATATGGGCTAAAGTGTAAATATCATAAATTACAGTGGTGCAGGTTTAAAAGTGAGATGCCGCCACAGTAACGGCAGTATGTTTACGCCTCCCCCTCGATATGGCTCCGTCAGTATGTAAACCTCTCCGTGCAATCACAGTGTACTGATGGATGGGTTCGTTTTTACACCAACATCAGTCTTACTCTTACGGCATGACAATATATTCCTGTGTCGTCTCATATTGCTGTAGGCAGTGTATGTCAGTGTGGTCTAGTGGAAAAGCCTGTTTAGTCTAGAGTCTCTTTAAAAAAAATAAAGTCTCTAAACTGGGTTGAAAAGTTTCCAAATCTGGTGACCAAGTTGTTAAACGGGCAGCAATGTTCATCTTACAGGAATATAAGTGGCACTATTGTTTTGCTGCCTGATCAAGAGTCCGCAAAGCTTTGTCAAGCGCGGTTGAGTTCCCATCAGTTATTCTACGCAGTAACATTTAAATCTTGACACATTTTGACACCTACAGTTAAGGCACTTTTTTGGGCTTTCTGACTGTCATATACCAGATCACAGTAACTTCTGATCTCCTAAAGAGAGCAAAGGGAGACAAAATTCCTGGAGTAAAAGTGCAAAAAGAGTTCATGGATCATCCAGTGAAGGCCTTTATGTGATTAGTAGAAAAAAAGAGTGAATTTCTAAAATAATGAAGTGAGTTTAATAACAGCGAGTGTGCTTCAGTTTGGTTGATTTACATAATGACAAAGATACAAGTTTGGATATTGTGATGAAGCTGATAAGATATGTTTAAAACAGATGCAAATGACCAATTTGCACATGATAAGGAACCCATCGATGACGCCTCGCCTCACCTCACGGCAAAAGAGAATACACCAAAAGTGAAAGTCAAGATAACAATCGAACGCTAACTTATGAGGAGAAGTTATGATATTGTTGTCTGACGTGTGGTTGAAAAAGTTTTCTCAGCCGCCACCTGCTGATCGATAAAATCCTTCACATTGTTTCACATTTTCTGGCATTTCACCAACTATGTCACCCGGATGAGCTTAATGGCGGGTGCGACGACAGTATAAGCTTCAATACCTGGATCATCAGCGTGACAGGCAAGCGATAATAAAGGCAGCGCTTACCCTTGAATGATCATGAACGTTGCAGGAGCGCATGGAAAAGAATTACAGCAAAAGATTATTCATATTTCTTAAGGAAAGTACAATAGTGGAGAAGTAAAGATAGGATTCAGTGGGGGGTGGATGTAAAGCCTGGAAACTCTTAAAACAAGTAAGAAAAACAATCTCTGCTCCTTTATCAGCTGCGAAAGTGTCAGAGACATTTGGCCTTTGAAATCTAGTCAAAACACATTTTGAATTAAAATGTGTATCGACTTTGGGGATGTTTTCTTCAGCTCTAGGAGAGCAGATTTCTGGTGGATGAAGCTTTGACAGCAGTGATGTGTGAGTGTCCCTGGTGGGACTCTCACACGCCAAACTGTCTGCCAGCTTCTGCCGACACTTGTGTTCTGATCTACTTTAGAAACTGGGACATGTCTTCATATTTAACACCGATTTTCAGCAACGGTGGTTCTGATACCATCTGACAGGGACACCAGAGGAGCAGGTGACATTTTTTATGAATCGCCTTCTCAACATGTTCGCCAGATGGTCTGGTGATTCTGGAGAAGTTACACAAAAGGAAAGGAAAAAAGAAAAAACCAGAGGGACGGTCAGACTGAACTAGTCTGTGTTTGTGAATGAGGAAATATTTCAGAGACTACACCATTCTGTGAACTCTTTTTGGCTGGCTCACGTTTGTTATCTCTCGCGGCAAATCCTATACGAGCTAAATAACGTGATCATAGGCGGTAAGAGTTCAAATGGATGAATTGGAAAATTGCAACCAATCACACCTTAACAGTATGTATTTATAAAAAAAACAACGGTGGTCCAATCGTACTGAGGATGCTGACGTTCTACAGGGGACATGTCTGTCTCTTAGCATTTTAGCCATAATGTGCATATTCAAGACCCTTTTACAGGAACCCTTGTTTCAAAATGAGTCAGCTGGAAACATTTAAGAAGTCACCTGGAGACAGATTTTTACCCAATTCTTGAAGCTAACGTTAGCCTAATTAGCTCGCTAGCTACAGCTGTAGGAAAGTCATCTCAGTCAAAGGAATTGACGGTCTGGCTAGAAATGAGAAGTTGAGTTTTTCAAGATATTTCCTCCTCAATTCTCTGTCAAAAAAAACGACCCGTGTTGCTTCAATAGCTACTAAGAGTCTTGAGGGGCAAATCCGCCCCCATTCTCACAGCAAACTGCACAAGCTTAAAAGGGCCTAGCAACAGTAACTAAGAGGGGCAGCGTTGGAAATTGTCAGTAAACGCTGAAAACACACCAGAGCAGCGGGGAAGTGCGGCCTGCATCAAGCTGCCACGCAATGTATGTGGTAACCTGCGACCGTTCAAATCTGTGGAATTGCGGCTAGAGAATATTTACAGCCAATCAGTAAACAGTCTTTTGACCTGTTTTACAAATAATTTCTTCCCACCTGAAACACATGAACATGTTTTGAAGGCGTCGCATATAAAATCTTGGTTCACCTGCTTGTCACAATTTCCTGGCTGCAGAAAAATATAATCATTGAAGGGAGTCAAACTTCGCCGCTGCTTGGTGGGTTTTTTTTTTTGCTGAAAGTTAACTGCCTCCTCTGCAGAAAGAGATCAAATAGCATTACTGTAGGTGTTGGGAGAAGCTGTAGCAACACTGACCTGCCTCAGAGTTTCAGGATGCCTCACTTTTATGTTTGCTGGTGACAACAGATGCAACAGCTCATGAGCTCTCGCTGCAGGGACGTCAGTGATTTTTCAGTATGTAGTCTTGTGTGCTCAAGACTCCTCAGTGACATATTTTCTATAATACGTATACAAGCACAAGTGTGATTTAAAAGAACACACAGATGGAGGGCGGATAAAGACCCTGGAAGTTTACTTCTCTATCAAGGACACGTTGTACTGGTTGACTTTGCTAACAAGAGAATGTATAAGAAGCCTGCAGATATTTTGTGAAAATAGCGCATGATGTGTCAGCTGCATCACAGGGCAGTTAAATCAATACATGCCAATATGCAGTGAACAGCTCTTTCCTATAGCAATAAAAAATCCTTGAATTAGTGATGTCACTGTCAAGTCGGACAATCGGGCCAAAAGATTTAGCTTGATATTAAATTAAATTTAAAATTTGGTTCAGCCTTTTAATAATTCATGTAATTATGCCGTGCTGCCCCATTTATTTTTCATCCATGGAGTGGAAGCTGGTGCACCTCTGTAATGAAATCTTAGGCTCTTAATGGTTTTGATCAGATTAAGAGAGGAGTGGTCCACAGACACTGAATAATCTGTCCGGGGGCATAAACGATTAACATAATGACTTATTTAAATTGGTGGCATTCCTCCTTATGTACTTTATAAGTAATTGTGGTTAAACAAATATTGGACAGTGATTGCTTGTAACCAATAGAACGTAATTTAATTCCAATGGTTCACATTTTATTTTATTTGTAATTTATGATTTGCTTTCAAATGTAATAACTTTGGTTTGGACCTTCACCTATGTATGTGTCTCCAGTTGCTGAGCATTAAACAAGCTGGTTTATTATCATATTTTAACACAGATATAGTTACTGTCTGGCTCAAACTACTGTGTGATGTCCAACCCTGTATATTGTGGTAGTGCCTCTCATTTTCTTTTACATGTCTGTTTGGGAAACTATATATAAATATATCTGTGTCTATGTGTACATTTTTTTAGAAGCGCTGCAATGCTCATGGTAAACCTACAAGCTATCATGTTTTATTCAGAGGCATGAAGAGCCGTTCTGTGCAGGAGCCAACAACTCCTACACTTTCCCAACTCTTTCATACTGAGCCTGGCAGGTATCAGGGTGTAACAGTTTACTCCTGATACCTGCCATTCTTCATACTTTCTGTCTCACTATTTTCTCACACTTTCTTCCTCTAGCTCTGTCATGCTCACTCATGCACAACACAAAAGGCTGAAGGTCACAACATCCAATGATTGGCTGTAACTGTCCTGCAACTTTAAAATGATCCCAGAGTGAGTTGTTAGGAAAGAGAAATAGAATAAGAAGTATAGGGAGAGACAGTGGGTCTGTTTTTCTCCCCATGCTCAGCTTGTTGTTTTATTTTCCTCACAGAGATTTTACAGAAGTTCGACATTTTACAATTCTCATCTCATTAGAAAATGTCCCGTTGTGTTGTTTTCAGTGCCGACAGTAAAACCAAGTAAACCAGATAAGAGATGTGTGGCTCGGTAGGTCCGGTGTCATCCTGCAGTTTCTTTGCACTTTGGAGATTTAAAACCACTTGAACCAACAATGTTCCCAATATTGTAACTTCACAGTTAGATAAAACATTTGTCCCACTTTGACAATAACACATATTTGGTTTCTGCTTCACTGTATCACACTTATATAAAGAGAAATACTGAAATATAAAGACGTTTGTTTTTTTATGGATTCACTATTAAATCAAAGATGTCTTCTGCATCATTTTTGTTCTCACTTCCTCGAACTGTATCTTTACAGACTTTAGATATTGATATCGTGATAATCGTACTACAAATATCTGCCAGTGCGCTGCTCTTTGCTTCTTTTCTCCCTCAAAACATTTTTTCTGCAACCACAGCATGGGATTTTTATCCCACAAAAATGTGTAGCATCTGAGGAAAGCCTTTTTAAAATGACTCATGTCACTACTTTCCTCCCTCCCTCCGTTTCTCACCCTGTCTGTGGTTCAGTAGTCCAGCATATAAAGCGGAGAGACATCATCCTGAAGAGGGAGTTGGGCGAAGGAGCATTCGGTAAAGTCTTCTTGGCAGAGTGTTACAACCTCAGCCCCACCAAGGACAAGATGCTGGTGGCTGTCAAGGTATGTTTTCTATGTGTGTGTGTGTGTGTGTGTGTGTGTGTGTGTGTGTGTGTGTGTGTGTGTGTGTGTGTGTGTGTGCGCGCTCGTGTTGCAAACAGCACAAAAGGAATTGTTCGACATTTTGGGTAATACGCTTTCACTGTGGAGAGTTCGGTGAGAAGATCACCACTCATATCTGTATGAAAATGTGAAGCTAAGCCTTGAAACAGTGGAAACAGTGAGCCTTATCCGTGATATAGTGCCCTCAAAAAGCAAAGCAGTGTCAAACTCATGGACAACGCAAATTGCAATGAGTCTCATTTTATAGTTTGAAAAAGAAAAAAGACCAAACAGTTGTGCAGTATAATGTGCCAGAATTTTGGGTGAGCCTTCCTACGGAAGTCCAGTATTCATGTTGAATGATGTGTTGGCCTATCACGAGCCCCTGCAGTGGGCTGTGCCATCATAAATCAGTTTTATGCGAATATCATGGCCCTCTCCGCAGGCCAACCACCATCACTGTGTATATCCAGTTCCACTTACAGATAGCCACTGGTTAGTAATCCCTCTGATATGAGCAACTCTGCAACTCTACTCCTGTCAGTAATAATGCAAAAACTATGAGAATCGGTAAAACATGAATTTACTGCTCACTATGGAGTAAACCACCTGGTGTTAAGTTAGGAGTAGTGAATGGAGTCTGGTGCACACGATAGGCTAAGCTAACCGTCTCCTGATTGTAGCTTCATACTCACACTTGAGTATGGTGTTGATCATCTCATGTAACTCCCAGCAAAAAAGGTGATTAAAGATATTTCCCCAAAATGTACTAGAAATGGGGATTTGGCATCTGTAACCTGAGACACAATTGAGATAAAAAGAGACTTTAAAAAGTGTTCAGTTTAGTGGCTCCCGCCAGGGGCAGGGCACCCCAACCTCTACCTGTCTTTGTACCCCTTCAGAACCAGTCTAAGTATCAGCCAAGGGACTGGCAATTACTGTCAAGCAAAGTTAATACTCCGATGAACTAGATGCTTTGTTTTAAAGAGCTTCAAACATTTAGAAGCACTGACCCTGTGTGGTCAATGATTTCACAGCGCTCAACATTAAGCTGCGCTTGCCAGCTCCCAGTGTGAATATCAGCGATTGTATGATGGTGAAGCAGGGTTTTACTGAAGTTGAAGACTCAAAGCTACACAGGAAACTAAGATTAAAAACAATCCAGCCAGAACACAGCCCTGACCTTGACAGGAGAAGTTAGTGGAAGAGTTGAGATGAAGATGATGGATTGTCTGGCTGTCACTTCCTTTTCTTACTATTATAGGATTAACAAAGTAACTGTTTTATAATAAGCACCCTCTACAAGGACCTCTTTATTTTTAAAACACAATGCAATGTGCATTTTCATCTGAATATGTTCCTGTCTGTGATGAAGCAGAAACAGGCTCTGTGAATACACTTAAAGGTCAACAAAAGGAAAATTCATTGCAGCGCTTTGCCTCAATTTATTGTAGTCGAGCACTTGAAGGTATTGTTTTGGAAGGATGCCCAGACAAGAAACATATCCTTAAGAGTGCGGTTTGATTTGGTAATAGATTTTTATGGCCATTTTACCCACTCTGCCGTACATCTCAACCACCTCCAGCACTTCACTGCAAGAACAGCACAGATGACTAAATGTATTTCCATCCCAAGGTCTTTCCATCTGTAATAGCGTCAGCAGCATGCTGAGAAAGCAGGTCTCCAGGCCAAGGAGATCAAAAGAAGCAACTTGCTGTGTTTTCTTATTCCCGAATGATGTGTCAAGAGTCTTATTTTCCCCTCCGATAGAGGCTGCAATATAAAGTACGTTATTACTGTTATGTGATTTTTTTTTTCTCCCTTCTTTTCTGATAATGACGCCAACTGACATCACATCAACATTTGATATGTCATGTGTGCTCCACTTCAGAGGAGTTCAAGGCACTCCTTGTTTGATTTGTCTACCAATCAGATCAATTTGTTTTGTGGACAGTTTCTTTTT